TGTACTTGTTAAATCGTAATTTCACAACATCGAGTTTTCTTCCAAGGTGCGAACACCTGTGGACCCTGAAAACCATCACATACTCTTCGGTAATTACTATATTTCTTCTTAGGAACCGTGCTGTCCCCAATAGTAATATCCTGATTAGCAGAGTCTTTAGACTTATGGCCTAGTTCTTAAGTCGAACTGAGTTGGCTTCAATTGTCTTCCCCATTGATAAAATAATCAGTTTTATCCACAGCTATATCTGTAAAGGTGGTCGTTATTACAACCATCGTAGGTCATGTGACTCTCATCCTTTGTAACTCCATACCCAACCCATAGACTTTCTTTGGATGACTTCCTATTAACTCGCAGGAAGCTATTCTACCAGATTGGTAATTAATCCCTTGGTTGCTCTCTGGGTAGTAGGTTTCAGTAACCATTGTAGTATTGAGAATCACCCCATAGCTACGATGTATTCTGAAACCCAGTTGCAACACTCCGTGAAGTTTGTTGGCTTTTTTGGTAGTGCCTTTTGGAGTTCTAGACTCTTCTGGTGGATGTAAATATATTGGTCTCTAGTAGAGATCCTTTACCATTTGATACCATCTCTTTGTGTGAAACTGTCCCGTTACCTATAGCCTATGCCAAAGGTGTCATATCTTTGTAGCCAAGTAACCTTCTGAATAGTTAACAGAATTACTCTGTTCCACTTCCCAAACCTAACCGAAGGTCCCCTCTCATATACCCTGCAAACAGGATCCGGTTGGACTGACAGCAACGACGTCTATAGTGTTATTCTAATACCTTCAATTCTGTAGTAATATAGTCACAGGACACAACTGAGATTAATATATATGATGACGCACAGGCCCTGTAAGGGAGCCAGAGGAGGGTGTTGGAGAGCAGAGATTCCGATTCCAAGTGGGGTTACCCTACTTAGGGTGGTTCCTAGGTATCAGGTTCTGGTATTCCTAACAGCTACAGACTTAGAGTTGTGAGAGCGCTGGGTTGTTTGATGGTCTTGTAATTAGTTTTCATGCAGGTATGACTCGGAAATGGCAGGTACGGGACCGTAGACTTAGTTAGCTTACATTTAGTGGTATACTGGTTAGTGATATCCCTGTGGCGGCAGCAGCTCGTCATATACCAGTATTAGCGGTACAAGTTTAAATAAAATGAGATCGAATTCTAAGTACTTTTCCTACTTATTACGTTAACAAATAAATATCTTTACATTCTTTATCATTGTCATGATCTTCATTATTATTACGCCGAGAAAAGCTGTTCATGAAGAAGAGTTAGAGAAAGCTTACGATAGGCATTCCTGATAGAAGACAGAAGTCTTGTACTACAGTAGCGTAGGCATAGGTCTAGTGCTATCGTAAGAGGAGAATAAGGAAAGAAGAAGACCAGTATCATTCCCCATCGCCAACGAACTAACTATTCGAGATAGGATTGTTACAGGCAATAGCATTTTGTCCATCTTGCAGATATTTGCCAAACGATAGTGCCTAATATCGGTAGGTAAGTCTCTTAACCTCCTACTATCATTCTTCTTGGTCTATAAGTTTCATCAATTGAATTGAATTCAATTCAATATGACTTTACTAAAATTACTTGGTAGCTCACTTGATTTATTGGTAACTACTTTTATGGAGATTCAATGTCAGTGGGAAAATCTACGAAACCACCTATTGGAGAACTGATAGTTGGTAAGTAGCTACTCTTCTTTAGGTTTTTGGCAGATTTCCTTGCTGACCTAGTGAAACCATCTCCTCACTATTTGTCCACTTTCTCACTAGACTCAAAATTAATCACATAGCTCATGCTCCCTTGCTATCCACTTTCTTTTCCTCTTTCTCCTAACTGCTCTGTGCTGACCCTTTTTCCTAGTTCCTTGAATTTTCCCTCCTCCTCTTTCTTTTTCCCATAATAGAGGTTGCTTTTTGGGATTTTAAGGAGCTCAATCATCTTGTTTTCAGTTGAATTTTGGAATTTTGTTGGACTAATTAGTATCGAAAGAACTTTCCAAGAAGAAAGTATACAAAGGTTATAGCTAATACTATATAATCGATAGCGGTTATCAATGTGTTTTGGCAGTGCTTGCAGTCTTTCTGAAAGGTTTTTCTGAACTGTCCTTGTTTTCTTCTTTACTCCAGCATAGAATCCACCTGCTGGAAGTAGGTTGAGGATTGGCTAGGTCTTTATTTATCTGGTGGCCTTTCGAGGCATTTTGATCATGATATCTAAGATTTGATACTTTCCTTTCTCCCCTTTAGTGGTTTTATTATTTCTATTCTACATACTTATTATTTTAATTTTTTTTCCCCTGTGCTTGACCCATTCTTTTCGTTTGATAAGATGTAGTCAAAAGCAGAGGTCTGTGTTTTTGTCTCATCTCAAGAGTCACTTGTATTTTGCTTTTTTGCCAGCACCTCACCCAATTTAACCTCTTAGCGTGATTCTCAATTATTCCAGTTTTCACAGTACCGCAGAATTCCATAAATAAGGCGCATCCATGAGTTAGGCGCACCTAGCAACCGGCTAATTGCATCACTATTTAGTAGATGCTTTGTAAACTACGATGAATCAATACAACTTTACTTACAGGATAATTTCAATTGCCTTCCAAGTCCACTAATATCTCATCATCGTCCTCGCTCTCTAACACCTCTTTGGATTGAGCCAAAGTACCATTTTCATCCAAGATCTTTAACAGTCTTCCCCAATTATCCTCCTTCAAAACTCCGGGACCGGTAGTATGCTTTCCTCTCTTTCCAGGTTCAAGATTGCAGTTTAAACCGTATTCCATATCGTAATTAACTTGTAAGTCCAGTAAGTTGCGAATATTAATTAGGTGGTCTTCAGTACCATCAGGACAAAGGGTGATACCGGTATCACGAAATGACTTTCGGATAAGATCGCTGTACTCTGAGTGTAACTTATGCCAGGCATCAGCTACACATTTGGTCATTAGTATCCGGCGCTCCCTAATTTTGACAGTTCCAGTCCTAGTGTTTGGATATTGACTTTGCTATCCTTGCACAATATACTCCTCTAAGAAGTCAGCAATATACTTCTTAAGAGGTTAGTTGATATGAGTATCTTCGGGTTGTAAATAACCAGTCATACCTTCAGGTATAAAAGCGGTTGTGGTATTTAAAGTGGGGGCAGAAAGAGCTTGTAGGACAGGGAGTGTGCAATGAGTAGGACATGTATCGAGAACAAGAAGATGAGGAGCTAAAACCTCAGGATCATTGCAGGGAGAACCAGCTGTACCGGTAATCGTAGTTGAATAATACTCATGAATCCAGCATAACATAATTGCTGTATCTGTATATGCTTTCTTATTAAAAAATGTAACTACTTGATCATCGTAAAAACGGGCTTCTTTCTGGATACTACCACCTTTTCCTGTCCCACGAAACATCAAAAGTGGCTTGCAGTGAGGTAGTCCATCAGCATTAATAAGAATCATAAGGGAGGCTTGCCGCTTCGTCCATGACTTGGTTAAGACCTTTTTTTTAACAGAGGTACTATCACGTGGAACATAGGTCCGCTTGGTATAAAAATCAAATGGCAAAGCCATTTAATCAACGTTGAAGATAGAGGATAGTGCATATCGGCCAATATCACGTACTATTTCTCCCAGTCGAGGTCTTGCATTAAACCTTACAAAATCTAAAAACTGTGATGCCGTATCTCGATACTCAACTGGCATAAATTGTGACTGGGAGGTAGGGGCTCGATAGGAAACTTTAAACCGTTCCTTGAAACTCCGAAACCAGCCGTCCAAGAGCTGGCAGGCATAAATCTGCTCACCATTTATGCCCACTACCTGCTCAGGATATTCTTCTTCGAAAATCTCTAGGGCATGCTGCTCAAACCACTTGCGAGAAATTGCAGACCCAAGATCGACCTCCTTCTGCCATAGTTCCGCTAAGCGTAACTCCATTTTCGGCCATGATGGTTACGATCCGCTTCCTATTCTCTTTTTTCAGCAATATTTCTAGTAGTACTTTCTTTACAGATTATCTACATACCAATACTCCGGGCATGAGCCTTAGCATCTAGGATTTTCATCTCCTGACTTTTCCACTTTCGTATTTGACTTTTGTTGTAGTAGAGAATCGACGTAGTACGACCAACTGATAATGGTTGAAGAATTATATTGCCTAATATTAGTTCATAAAAGTACAATTGTAAGTTAAGCATAACTATTAAAAACTAGCAGAACTCTTATTCCTACCATTTATATCTTCTTGCCATTGCCGTCCATTTTCAAAAAGTTCTAAAGCTTCTAACTGTTCTTCTCGTATTGTAGTTCGCCTTTTTTTCAATCCTTCTCTCTTGCTTTTGATTTGTTGTCTTTTGAAATTCGGCTCAGCTGGGTTCACAATCTCGATTTGGGGATTTATACATTGCTGTTCGGCTAATATAGGGCGTTCTGTTGGTCCTGGGTTTGAGGTTGCTTGGGGATCCCGGGGGAGTATCTGTGTTGTTCGTGATCCAATACTAGTTGGAATTTGACCTGGACGGGCTGACCGAGTACTTTGATATGCCATTTTTATAGCTGGCAGGACATGGAAGGTAATATTATAAAGAATAAACAGTTTGGTATTATAGAAAGAAGAATACATGAATTGTGCTCAGTTTTATCCTCCAAGTCTATTATCGCATTATACTTATTCATGATCCTACGAACTTATGACGTCCAGCTTACATCTCATTGGTTCATAGTAGAAACCTAAACCTTAGCTTCTCTACATCAACTAGAAATGTTGAATAAGGCGCGCGCCTTATTTATGGAATTCTGCGGTACTTCAACTGGTACGGTTGACTAATACCAGTTCTGTCCGCTGGAGATACCGGAAGCCGGCAAGTCTATTCCAAGGATCCGGTGCTGGTGCCTGGATGACTGTGCATACGGTCATGGTACCTATAGTACATCGCGCTCACTTAACCACCATCCCCCCCCCCTTTTCCCTCAGCTCTTTTGCATTTCAACATATTCCTCTGCTCCCTCCCTCCCGTTCACTTCCCCCAGCCCCCCAACCCAACCATGACCCATACCTCTCCACCCCCACCCTCTCCAGCACGGAGCCCTGATCCGGATGACAAACTTCACACTGTTTCTGCTTCATCGGCCGATTTCGGGTGCACGAATAGCTCTCTCGATTGGAAACGTGTATCGATAAAATGGACATCTTTTGCCTGTGCCACTGTGAACTGGTGTGTAGGCCCGGAATCTCTCTCCTGGTTTATTGTTGAGCTGAATTGACGCGTGGAATGGGGCAGCCTATGCGCCGGGAGCATACTACTGTTCTCCCTCTGGGCTCCTGTGTTCCAGCAGAAACTCGGGTATTCGCAGATGCAAGTGAACGCTATTTCTATCGCCGGCGAACTCGGGATGTATCTACCGTGGGTTCTTCTCACTTCCGTGGACCCGGAGTCTTTGCTAACCGATCGGTCCTAGTGTACCCGTTTTCGGCTATATTTGTGATGCCTACGGGCCCGCTAAACTCAGCTTGCTCTCTGCTACCTTTTTCGGCCCAGCTTATCTTCTCGCATCGCATACCTTCGCGAATCAACTGCCGTACCCGGTTATGGTATTGGCATTTGTGTTTGTCGGCATGGGCACAAGTAGTATGTATTTTGCCGGTGTAACAACCTGTGCCAAGAACTTCACCGACAACAGAGGCCTTGCCCTAAGCTTGCCCATCGCAGCTTTTGGGCTGAGCAGTTTGTGGCAATCGCAGGTTGTTAGTCGGGTGTTCACGAATAAGACTACTGGAGAGTTGGCGATTCCCAGAATCTTTCTGGCATATTCCACCTTCTTGGTGGTTATCGGTATTCTTGGTGCACTTGGATTAAAGGTTATTAAGAGTCGCGAGGAGATCTCTAGAACTGGGGAGCGAGAAAGTCTCTTAGAGGGAGGGCAAAGCCCTGGCAGTCAGAGCTATGGTACAACCGGGCATGAAGCCGTGGACGAGGAGGTGTCAGGGGAACATCCATTTATCAATAAGGCAACACGGGAGTTTTTCACTGACAGCACAATGTGGTTTTTTGCAGCTGGGGTGTTTCTGGTGACCGGTCCTGGTGAAGCCTTTATCAATAATGCACGTCCCCCCCCCCCTTTATGGACCCAATGACTAACAGGGCTCAGATGGGGACCTTGATTACAACTTTATATCCTCCGCCATCCACAGCTTCCCAGATCGGAAACCCCGTTGATCCAGCTACTCATGTCTCGATCGTTGCAGCTACCTCTACTATAGCGCGTGTAGTGGCGGGAATTCTTTCCGACTACCTTGCCCCCCCTGTCCCCACACCCGATGCCGCCTGCCCTCCTCCTCGGAAATTCCCACGATGCTCGAGGATGTATCTGCTATTCTCGTTCGCATTCCTTATGTTGCTTGGTAACCTCTACGTCTCTCTCGGCTATGTCCAGGAGCATGGAGAGAACTTTTGGATTGTATCTTCGTCCATCGGCGCAGGCTATGGTGCAGTATTCTGCCTTGCCCCTACGGTCGTCAGTGTAGTTTGGGGAACCGAAAACTTTGGCACAAACTGGGGAATCGTTACGATGACTCCTGCCGTTGGTGCAACAGTATTTGGCTCGGTATTTGCATGGGGATACGATCATTATGCCAATAATCACGGCATATGCTGGGGCAAAGAGTGTTATAGTGGTTCATTTATGGTCATGGCAGTGAGTGTGGCTTGTGCATTGGTGGGATGGACTGTCGCATGGCAAGCCCCCGGTGGATGGAAAGCTAGGGGAATTGTTGTCTAAAATGGACGAATAGTCAACGGTTCTACTGTAATATTACTATTCCTTGGAACCAACTAGAAGTCATGGAATAAAGGTTGAGGGCGTGGGAGGTTGCATTACATCATGTCTTTGTTTTGCGCCGTTTTCTTAAATTTTCACTCTGCTTTACTCTTCACGTCATATCACGGGATTTGGGGCTTTCTTTCTATCGGCGTTTTCCATCGTCTTTTAATTTTTCACAGGATGGATGATACACATACATTGCGGCAAGAAACAGGAGAGTGTGTCTTATAGATGAGAAGAGGGGAGAGATAAGGTGTTCCTAGCTTAAATACTTTCAACTTTAGAACATTGTGATCTTAGAATTTCGTTTGTGTGAAGAACTTCCACATGATATTTACTGTAGCTCTCTTTTTTATTAGATATACTGGTACACCCACCCCAGTCCACTCACCAAGAGATTATGTCGGCAGCGACTGATGAGTGCTGACCCTATGATTTGCCATCTCTTAGTTGTACTGAGGAATATCCTGCGCTTGGAATATACCTACTGACGTATCATACTAGGAATATCCAACAACCTAGATTGCAGAGTACTGTATGAATCAACACTCGGAGACCACTCTGGTTGATTCCTCAGGTGTCATCGGTAGTGCGCGTGTAACACTCAGTCTAGACTGACTTTACCCCACTCACCCACCTCCCTTTTCCAAGCAGTGTAGCCAGCGAGCGACCCATTACCACTCACTCGGAGGGTGCACCGCCCCCTTCCGTCCGAGTCGTGACCGGAGCGGAGGGAGAGGGTGAGAGGGCGGTCGAACCTCCCCCCCTCCTGTGCGGGGGAATAACAATCAGCGCAGTAGTATCAACGTGATAGACTCTCACGGCGGATGGAAAATTCGGATACTAGGGTGACCGATCACCCAATTTGAACCGACGGAACATCTAGGGACAAGTAGGATACCGTGCCTATGGAGTTGGGGGGGAGGGGGTCATACTATACTCGAGATGGATTTCTGTAGAAGGTGCTTGGCCTACTAGAAAGTATCATAATATTATGATAATTATCACACCATTTCGGTACGCTAGGTCCGGAGCAAATCCCTGAGTCCGAGGACCGGTCCCGCCCCCTTAGGTCCGGAGGGGGGCACCGCAGTTACTTGATGAGTGCATGATAGGTTATGATTCGCCTTGTGGGATTGAGTTGGTTTTGGTGATTGGCGCGTACCAGTAGATGCCATATCGACACGGCCTTTTGCACTGTCGGCTGGATACGCATTGGGGTGGAAGTTGGGTTGGAGATCAGGAATCTAGGGTCCCATTCCAGCGTTTTTTTGATCCTGATGGGCGGGGTGGGTGGGGTTGATTATCACTCGGGCGGTAAACTGACTGACACTGGGAGGGGGGAGATCGCTGGCGACCCCAGGTGCCGTAATTCTTTGCCACTTCTGTTCTAGCATTATTGTTTTCTTCTTTGATATTCGCTGCTTAGACATCTTCTGCTTTAGGTTACGCCCCGGGTATCGAAATATAGTAGCGTCCCTTCCCTCACCTGCTGTATTTATCCCACATTCGTCTTTGGACCAGTGGTCCTCCAAGTTATATGACACAACCAAAAGTCTACCAAAGTGTAACGTACCAAATTTACCTTCCATCGCCCGTCCCCGTGAAGCCCCCAACCTACCTAGGCACCTCATTCCCTTCCTTCCTAACCCCCACCTCGTCCATCCTCCCCCGCTCAGCCCTCCTCCTAGCGATCAGCGTACAAACCGGGAACAGCAAGACACTAACACAAACCCAAGCGAACAGCACTCCAAAGTTCCTTCCAATCTCATTCCTAACATCAAATACAATACTCCGACTGGCCGCCACAATGTTATGCAACGGCCACGCATACCCGAATCTGTAAATCCCGGGTGCGAGGACGAGCGGGTAGAAGGACGTCGCGACGTTCGTGATGGCCCAGAATATCAGCCACAGGGCAAACCACGGCGGGCCCAGGACCATGGACATGTTCTCGGAAGCGAGGCCGAGCGCCGACATCCCGACCCAGTTTAGCATCCAATAGATTGGGAAGTTATAGTTGCTTGCTCCGCCCGGGGTGGTTTGCGGGAGAGAGGAGCGGGAGAAGGGGATCTGGAAGGAGAGGGGAACGAGGGAGTAGGCGAGGGAGAGGAAAAAGTAGGTTGTTAACGTTGCCGTAAGGCGCCAGACGAGCCATTGGGGGAGGGACAGGGGGGGGATGTCTTATTATGTGGTGAGTGATCGTTCGTGAAGATGTGGGCGTGAGAATTACCGTCTCTGGGGATTATGAAAGCTTGGTGAATGGGTAGGTAGAAGGAGAAGGAGAAGAAGGAGAAGATGACCAAGTCTGTCCGCGCCGTCAACATTATTCCTCCGCTTCAACATGCCGAGAGGGAGGGTGAGGGCGAGGGGAGGAATACATAACAACCCAACACTAACCGCCGGGATAGCAGCTGGCACATCAAATGGCCTCAAATTTGTCATACGGAATCCAAACCCAGGATTCACTGCCAAAGGCACCCTGGCCATATTCCTCCTCAATCCTTCCTCGCGCACAACCCTCGGTATCCAGACTTCCGAAAACCCACGCACGACTTCACCCTTGAGGTCGTCCAAACGGGGGACCAAATCTGCCGTGTTTTATACTTGTCAACTTCCCCCCTACCTTGAGAAGTAGAAAGATCAAAAGAAGAAAAAGTGGAAGAGAGAGAAAAGGGCAAACAATTTCTGGTGACGCTCTCCTCCCTTGCCTCTACAAAGACAATCTCGGCAAGGGAGTCCGGATCAAAGCCTTCATCCCCGCTCCTCAGCGCATTTTCCAACCTCGCTGTTGCATTGCTAGTTATGGATATGGCAGCCCAGTGCTTTTGCTCGTACACAACTTTGCGAACTTGCGTTTCCCCACCGGGGTATTCGTCCGGGGATTTGACGATGTACCCTAAATGTGGCTGCCGGAGAGCATTCTGGCTTTCGGCGGCGCGGAGAACTGCTGGACCGATGAGTGCGGTTTCGTGGGTTGGGGAGTCGAAGTCTACTACTATAACGGTCAGGACGGAGAGGTTTTCGTAGGTGTGAGACAGGACGCCCCAGACTTGGATTCCGCATTGCACGGGCTGTCAGTAGATGTTGCCAGCCTGGTAGGGTTGGGGCCGTACAGAGGGATAGGAAGGCCAGCATAAAGACTCCAATTAATAACGCTGCCATTCCCCATCAGCATTCCTTGATTCCTTCCCCCCCCACTTGGTGTGAATCCCAACGCATGTAGATAAGATGAACATACTCATCCCAGCCCACTTCTTGATAATCCCATTCCTCTTCCGCCGAATCGACCTGTCGAAAAAGCCGACGGCGGCCTGGGTCTTTCCCTGAGTCTCGAGGGTCGACATTGCGTAAACTTCGAACAAGAAGGAAGCGGGGATACCCTGTGGGCATATTCTGTTAGCGGCTTCGCCGATGACGTTACTAGGTGCGGGGCGCGGAGGGGGCCGCTGTATCCGGTAGTTTTTAACAGTGGATTGGGCTAGTGGTCATTGGTGATCGTTTTGAGCGCATGAAGGGGTGGGTGGTTGACTAAGCTAGTGGGCAAGGAGAACGGATGGAGGGGCGCGAGTACGAGTACAGTAGTCTACTCGAGCATGATAACTTTAGCACTGGCGCTGAAGAGTGGAAACGGACGGGCTAAATAGACGGTGGAGTACTTGTACCAGCGCTAGGTGTTAAGAAACCCTGAACAGAGCATTGGCTATTGGTCACTTGCCAATGCTTGGTGGCTCAAACTGTAAACTATAAATTTACATTGGGTCTGGTATGATGAACAAACGATTGTTGTGCTGGGGAGGGCAGTCGCGGGGAGTGGGTGGGGGTCAGTTAGAAATTGATTGGTGCAGCTAGGAGGGATGTGGATAGAGGGGCTTGGGAGTGGTGAGTATTTGCTGTGATACCGCCCTTCATATATTGAAGGTAATGATAGCCAAACAAGGATGCTCAGAAGAATATATATACTCTAGCACCTTGACTTGGTGCCGCTTCACCCGTTAAACGCTAAACCACAAAAATACCCTTATAAAAACGCCGGCCCATTTCATCAACCCCCCATTACTACTCTCACCGTTTTCCGGAATATAAAAGAAATACATCACCCAAAAGAATATAAACAAAGAAAAAAAATACACATACGACCAACTCAACACCCATTCCCAGACTCAAGATTCTGCCAAGATAGTGCATGCTTTCTCCCCTCCCTCCTATGGTGCGCCATATTCGGGCTCATAACCGGCCTGGCTCCGCCACGCAATGTCTCGTGCGGCGACACTACGGCGCCAGTAGAAGCAGTAGACACGTTAGTGCTAGAGTACACCATCCGGTCTCCAGACGATAGCCCCGACACGGGGGAGATTGGCGGCGAGGCGAGTTCTACGAAGCCAGGTATGAGGCTGTTGTGTCGAGAGCTGGAGGTGGGGAGTTCGGTGAATGTCGTCGAGGGGGAGTCAGTTGGCATTGTTATAGCTTTGGCGGCGGACATCGGGCGGGTTCGTGTGAAGAGGGCTAAGAAGCCATTGCGCTCCGCTATAATGGCTTTCCGTTAGCGGGGGGGAGTTAAGGGTCGGGCTTGGGGCGGGGTTTGAGATACCTCTGACAGCACCATCACCGGGGGAGGGTTCGCTGTCGTAATTTGGGAGGTCATTCGCGGAATTTTTGCTCTCTCGGCGGCGGCGGCAGAGCATTATGATCAGGATTATTATTAGGATAATGAGAACCCCGCCGATTGTCGCCCCGACGATGACTGCCTGTGGGACTGGGTTTGTGTCTTTGGAGTTCCCGCCGGAGTTCGAACCGGCGCTGGTGGGCAAAGCGGAAGAGGCAGTCCCAGAGGTTGAAAACGCGGGGGTGGAAGTGTGTACCGGTGAACTGGAGGTGGGATCCAAACCAGAAACAGGTGGGACTGTAGGGGATACAGGCGATGTAGAAGACGTTTTCACTGTTGCTGAAGGGGACCTTGTTGCTGAAGTTCCCGGATTGGGACTGGGGATGGTACCGGTACCGCCAGGCAAGGTTGAGGAGAACTGAGCATCCGGCGGGCAACCTTGTGGAAGCGAGCAGGGGTCTATCCGACAGCAACCATTGTACGTGGACAGCGCACATACGTACCAATTATATCCACTTGGACATGAACCTCGTGGAGACTCCATATCACTAGCCTTTTTGGAAGTAAAAACAAAACAGTTGACGAAAGGTCGAAGGGTGTGGAGGGACGGAGGGGAGGATAAGAGGTAATAAAGGTGGTGGGAATTCAAAGCAGAAAAAACGCATCTACGGATACGTGCACAACTGTGAAACCCAACCACGCTGTACTTGTACCAAGCTGCGGAGCCTACTTGTGGGTTGAGTATTGCAGTTCTGGGTGAAGCTCTGGCCCAATGAGAGACTGTACCGTACCGGCACAATTGCCATCGTGGTGGATGGGTCCATCATCCAAAAAAGCACTCGAGTACAATGTCGTGGGATCTACCGTTCCGCCTTTTCCCCCCCCAACACATGGGAATGATGGGAATAATTTTGTGGGTGTGTCCATGGTGTTAGGCTCCTAACTCTTCTCCCTACTCGGGTACCGGTGGACTGCTGTGATCCTTTGCTGGTCATATCGGTGCGTCGTTGCGGGGGTCCTGGGAGGCGAATAGCGGCACAGCAGCGCATAACGGGTGTTGCCAGTGTCCTTGTAGGGGGGTGGATGCAAGTGGCAAGCCAGTTAGAGACGCTGAAGCAGTCTTAGGAGTGGTTCCACCACAGGTAAAAGATAAGCTTAAACAATTGGCTCCAAGAGAAGGACAAAGAAGTTTCTTGGGCGCCAAGAATAATTTTCGATGCATATCGCTATTGGGGGCATGGGCTAGGAATAATTTATTATCCTTGTTTGCTAACACGGCTTCAACGAGAAAGAGAAAAAATCAGCACCACACCAGTAGCAGCATGAAAATGAGTCCTGGGGAATCGGTCATAAGTACTCGAGTACGGTAATCCAGTGCCAATGCCGCTCTCCTCATATAACTTGGACCCCCCCCCAGGAAACTCTCCCAGAAGCCGTCAGGAAAACTCACCAAGCCTTTATCCTGGCCGCCAATACTGCAGTACAAGTATGCCACGGCCGGAGCAGCATGAGAGGCGTCTGACTACCACGAGGGATCTTGTGTTGACAAATGCCGTACCGTAAAAACTCTTGGGGTCCGCCGGCTTCGCCAGCCCCGTAATTACTCGAGTACCGTACCGGATCCATGGACAAAAGGGCCCGAGAACGATCAGCGTTTTCCTTGACAATGATAGGATCGGCACACTAGACGTGTTAGATCTGATCAACTCATTTTCACAATTCTGTCAGTCCGTCGAGCCAAACCTATCCCGGGCCATCCCACTTGTTCCCGCTGATAGGCTAGTGGTAGATTTCAAGAGATTCTACGAGTGCTCGAGTACCGTACAGTACTCGAGCAGCGGCCCGCCCGAACGGCCGGTCTACTGGTACTCGTATACTCGACGTGACCACCGTAGCGCAAGATTCAATGGCCGAAACCTCTTCAGTCGGAGGTCCAACCAAAAGTACGAGTACTGGCAATTTCTGCCCCCCCAAGATCGTCGACCGGGCCCTCCCGGCCACCCTCCGGGGTGTAAAAAGCACCTGTAAAGCTAATTATAGCATCCCGGTAAAAGTTAACGTTTTGCTCAGTCTTGGGACGTTCTCCTCATCGCACAGTACCGATATCAGGATTGTACGAGTACTTGGAGGCGAGGTCGGTAAGATGTTCTTGAAAAAGCACTTATCAAGCGGGGTCTGCAGTTATGTTCGTGTTTGCATCTGACCATAGTCATCGCTTATCCGGGAACCTCCGGGTTCGAATGTGAGAGCGCTTGCGCTTCTCGGTACGTGGGTTTCACACATAACAGTAAGCTAGGCCGTTGTGCTACGCCGAAAGGGGATGCGTTGCTGAGCGGTGGGCCTCCGGTATGATAATTGAAGTTACGAGTACTCCGGGGAGTGCATGTTCATTGCCAGTCATTATGTATCACTCGCGTTTTATACACCCCCCCCTGGTGACCCCTCCGACCCGATATTAAAGGAGCTTTCTTTTTTCTTCCCAGGGGGTACAGTATGGCATCACGAGGCTGCCCCAAAATTCTCACCGCGCTTGAAAAGAAGAGAAAAAAACTCTCAGCTAACCGATCTACCTAGCACAGGGCAAGTAACTTGATGAGCCTTGGCTGAGGAGCCTGCACAGGCTCAATTTTGCAGAACCATTTCCAACACACAACTCCACCCCTTGTAACCATCACAACAACTCACTCGATCCACCACCTCCCTGTCTATTCTGTAAAAACATTCAAATCAAACGCCCCGGCCGGTGCACACCCACCGGTACTCTTCCCATACTGCTTTGCAAACGCCCTAGTCCACCCACCCATGAAGGTAGTAACGCTCCCAAGCGTAGGGACCCCATCCCACTGCACGGCCCAAAGGGGCAAATCGCTCGCGATATCCACACTCCTGGAGCCAAACATGGTCGCCCACTGATTCCCATTCGCATACTACGCATCCATAGAAAAATCAGCCCCGGTTATACGACGAAAGGGAGGCAAGAAAACGGAAGAAAGGAGAAGGCAACGCACGATCCCCCACTCCAGCCCCGTAGCCTTAATAGCTGTGACAAACTCCGTGGCGAGGGCAATATTCAGCGCAGTGCCGTAGTTCCACCCCTGACATGGGGAATTCGGACTTGGAGGTTCCAAGTCCAGCCATAAACGCTTCACCGAGATGTCCTCTGCCACGAGGAAGTATACTATCTCGTCCACTTGTTGTTGCGGGGATTTGCAGTCGTGCCAGAAGCCCGTGCATGGGAAGAAGTAGCCATCGATGTTCGTGATTCCCGAGGCGCGAATTTGATTGTAGCTTGTTATGAAGTTTGGATCTATGCGGCCGCCAAGCTGAGGATGTTAGACTTTGGGTAAGGGAGGAGGGGGGAGCTATACGAGGCAGGCTTCTTGGTATAGTCGGGGTACAGCTTTTAGGAAGGATTGGCGTTGCACACAGGTCCACACGCTAGTTCCCCGCGGCGAGGAGAGGTCGAGGGCTTTTACGACGGCTTGGGCATTGCCGATCAGTGCTCCGAGGGTGAGTAAGATTGTAGAAGTGAGGTGCATTGTAAGATTTGTTGGGAGTGTGCTGCGGCGCAATAGTGGTACTGTACTTGGTTTGGGCCTGCTGGACTGCCTCTTGACCGGAGGAACCGGGCCTACTTATACCAACCTCCACTCGCCAGCCCGCCATCCACGACGTCACGGGAACTTGCGCGTAGGCACACTCCCTCCACATCACTCTCACACTATTGGCCCAAAACACCAATCAAATCCCTCCTCCACAGAACTTCCCCTCTCCAGAATGGCACCGACCCTTACCCTTCGGTTCAAAAATCGGAGGATTCTCTGCAGCGATCGAAAAACCACAGCGATCGCCCCACCACCATTCATCCATCCGAATGGAGATTGCCATAGAAGCTGCGAGCTTTCTAGAGCAATAGTCACCGGAGTGCGAAGTTGGACACGAACATAGACCAATTGTGCTACCCCGCCTGGCGATATCGGGAAACACTTATCCAAGCCACCCATTCTTGAGTGCAGGCGGGTATGGCACGGGACGGTCCCGCAGGGTGAAGTAAATGTGGGGAAATTTGTTTTGCATAATGGTGAGATCGTGTTATGCCGACAGACGGATTTTAAAGGTATGTTGGAGATGGTTGTGTGTTGGTTGACTGGCTGGGTGGGAATCGGTTGGAGGTGAATCAGCTGTCGCGCTACCTTAGGGTATGGTGACACGGTCTGATACCGGTAGGGTATGGTCGAATGGAGATAGGGCTCCGCACAACATTCGCACATATTCGATCAGGAAGGTTCTAAATACACAAGGACTCGGATATGGAAGTAAAAATCGAGGACGGAAAGAACCCTGTTTTTGTTGGAAAGTATTGTGCGTGGACAAAATTAACCATGATTCAACAGAGGAAAATCTTTGGCGATGACAACCACACTCACCCACCAATCCACTATCATGAAAACCAAAAAAAAAAGATGTAAATACATAGTAGAAATTAATATTTGGTATACCATCCATCAGACTTAATAATTGCCTCTATTCTATCCACCATTGATCCAGCTAAAGTATCAAAAACCTTTGGGTCAAGAAGTTCTCAACAATAAGTGATGGCCTCTACTATTGCCTTCTTAACTACATTAACATCACCCTTCATAAGATATAGCTCAGGGTAGTGCTTGTGAAGTTTACCTTTCACCAGAGACCAAATATTTTCAATTGGATTGAGATCTGGTGAATAGGCAGGAATTTCCATCAGTGTAATTCTCTGCCCTCTGAGCTATCTCCTAAAAGGCAAGTGAGTCTTAGCATTGTCAATAATAAAAAATACCTCTTCATCTCCAGCCTTTTCTCTGATATTCTCCCATATCCCTAGAAATTCATAATAATAATAAACATCAATAATTGAGTTCCTGTAACGATCCCTCCTTGGATGGTTAGGTTTTGGCGACAGGGAACGATACTTCTCTTTTTCTTCTTCTCCTCTTCTTTGTCTTACGATAGCGCTAGGCCTCTGCCTATGTTACTGATAGTTCAAGACCTCTGTCTTTTATCGGGAATGCCTATTGTAAGCTTTCTCTAACTCTTCTTTATAAAGAACTTTCCTTGGCGTAGCGATAACATTGCAATAAAGATAAAGATCGTAAAGGTGTTTTATATTCGTTAAAGTAATAAGTAGGAAAAGTACTTAGAATAAAGCATGAAGAACCTATCCTCTTCGGTCGCATCGGCCTCCTTATATAGTGTTCTTTTCACCCATAGTCATGTGACCCAAAGTGGTCACATGTGCAAAACCAAATCATAACAAACTAGTCATGTGACCAAGGTTGTCACATGCTCAAAACCCCTGACCTCATAACAAGGTCATGTGCAAAATTCATAAACCAATCATAACGCAATAAACAAGTCATATGACTCGACTGAGTCATATGCATGAAATCTATGATCTCATAACGAGGTCACATGCAAAACATAAGTCATATGAGCCAGGCCTACCCGCAAGGCACACTCACAAGGCATACTCGCCAGGCGCACTCCCATGACACATATTTGAGCCATGTGCAAAAGCATTACAAATCCCACACATAACAAATCATATGACTCGAATGAGTCATATGTGTGAAACAATGACATACCTGTGACTCATAACCATGTGTCACGTGAAAACCTTTTCCTCGCCAAGCCATATTCGTGACAGTTCCTAGTAACTCCACCACTAGCAGAAGAAGGATCAGAAAAAACAGGTAAAAAAAGACTATGAGTTTGACTATAAAAACAACTGGTCATCATCTGGCTAATCCCTCTCTCCCCTCCCCTAGCCTTAGGTTCAACATAATCCTTATTCTATTTCTCATATAGGTATCTGAAAACCCATTTTCTCCTCTTTCCTTATCTTTCCACAGCTACCTCATTCCTCCACATTGCCTTCTTTCTCCACATCTCTTTTATTCAATGCCTATGAGCCAATGCCTATTCTAACCTCTCTTCAGCTAGATCTTTATCCAAATAAACTCTCTCTTATACCATACACTTTCTAAGATGCTTTTTTTTAAGTGTTCTCCTTATTGTCACGAAGCTGGCTTGGCGTGAAAAAGGTTTTCACGTGACACATGGTTATGAGTCACAGGTATGTTATTGTTTCACACATATGACTCATTCGAGTCATATGATTTGTTATGTGTGGGATTTGTAACACTTTTGCACATGGCTCAAATATGAGTCATAGGACGTGCACCTGGCGAGCATGCCTTGCGAGTGTGCCTTACAGGTAAGCCTTGCGCATATGATTTGTGTTTCACACATGACCTCGTTATGAGGTCATTGGTTTCACGCATATGACTCAGTCAAGTCATATGACTTGTTTATTGTGTTATGATTGGTTTATGAGTTTTTACACATGACCTCGCTATGAGGTCATGGGTTTTGAGTATGTGACCACTTTGGTCACATGATTAGTTTGTTATGATTTGGTTTCGCACATATGACCACTTTGGGTCACATGACTACGGGTGGGAAGAATACTATATAAGGAGGCTGATGTGGCCGAGGAGGATAGGTTCTTCATGCTTTGTTCTAAGCACTTTTCCTACTTATTACTTTAACGAATATAAAGCACCTTTACGATCTATATCTTTATTGCAACGTTATCGTTATGCCCAGGAAAGCTCTTCACAAAGAAGAGTTAGAGAAAGCTTACGATAGGCGTTCCCGACTGAAGACAGAGGTCTTGTACTATCAGTAACATAGGCAGAGGCCTAGTGCAATTGTAAGACGAAGAAAGGAGAAGAAAGAGAAGAGAAGTATCGTTACCTGTCGCTAAGAACTAACCATCCAAGGAGGGATCGTTACACTTATTGTCTTACTAGAAACATTGGAAGTAACTTGCTTAGCAATGTCAGAATAGGTAGTATGGTGATTTTTAAGAGCTTCCTCTACCATAGCATCATCTTATAACTTGGTAGTTTTAGGATGTCTTCCTCTACTCTTATTCTCCTTGGCCTCTTGATGTCACTTTGCAATTGTATTTCTGCCAGTAGTGTAGGAGATATTAAGATAGTGGAAAATTTGCTAATATCTCATCGGAGGCTCATGTAACCTGAGAATCCTCCCCCTGGTAAACTCAGAGAGATATGTGCAGGGAATAGGTTTTTTGGCATGACTGCAAAGAACAGGAGGTATAGTTTATTGAAAAAAAAAATTAAACAAAATGGTTTCTTCTTGGTTAAGTTAGAGCAATTCCTTTAGGTACTGTTAAGAGTATGGAGTGATTAAGATGGGTGAGTTGCTACCAATTGTTGAATTGCGGTTAATTTTGTCAACATACAATATTGACCTGGTCAGAATGGCTGAAGAGATCTGCATGCTGGGATGATAAAAAATTTGGATGAGAGCTTGGCAGATGTAACACAAGAAAATGATATCTGTATAATAAAAAAACAAACACACAAAAATTGATTCTTGTAGAAGATATTGCTAGTGGTAAAAAATAAAAGTATTATATTTTACCAGTATGAGTAGATGTTGAGTGTACTTATGTGAAACAAAGTTCTATTTCACACCCTCCTCATTATGCCTACTACAACTGGGTCATATATAGAAGGATCATATACCAGTAGGAACTTTAACAGTAATGTAAACTCCATCACAAGAATAGCTAATATCTCATTTGATGAATACATTTGCTACCATCATGGCTATTGCAACCATGTAACACTTATTTCCCATACTTGCACTTGTAGGAAATCCATCTACTAGTGGCAGCTTTAATATGGCTGATAATTTGTCCACATTATATGTAAGTATAAAAAAATCCAAAGAATTAAAGTATTATTAATTTAAGAATTAAAAAAGAGTCAAAGAGGCGAAGGAGAAGTAGTAGGAGAAGTTAAAGGTAAAGGTAAAGGTAAAGGTAAAAAGGAGAAGGAGAAGAGGCTAGGGGATAAGGATGATGGTAGGGGTGGGGAAGTGAGGATGAGGATAAGGATAAAGATAAAGATAAAGATAAAATGTAGATGTTAAGCTAACGACTATAATGAAAGTCATACCATACTACACAGTAACTCCAACTGAATATGATACAATTCAGTGACTCTATAAGTAAGGTGGATGGATATATCACTAAATATATGAGGAATTTGATATTCCTATAAACAGTCTTCATGGGCTTGTTTATGGTATTAGTACTGTACATCAATCACTCTACTATACCTGTGGCTACAAGCCAGTTTTAGCCACACTGATCAAATATTGTCTTATCAAAACAGTGACAGCAATTTCCTATATTCGCCATCTTCCCTTATTGGAAGTTGTAAAGCTTACAAGAATTCAAGCTTCTAATTACTTGCTGTGATATATTTTCTATAGGGAGGGCTACATCTACTGTGGTGTAAGAATTAAATCATTTCTTAATGCAGAAACAAAGCAGATAAGACTAAATTGGGCAGAAAACTTTTATAACTGTAGTGAGTCTGATTAGAGTCAAGTTATTTTTCAGATAAGACTGCCTTCAATTGCAGCCAATAATCTGGAATAGTTTGGTTTACATAAAAGTTAGAGGAAGAATATAACAAGAACTGCTGGGTAATGGTTAGGAGTACTGGGATCCAATATCTAAGAACTATCCAAAGTATGGTAACCCTACTTGGAATTGGAATCACTGGTCTCCAACACCCTTCTCTGGCCCCTATATGGGTCCTGCATGTTATCACTTGTATTGATCTTAGTTGTGTCCTGTGACTATAATACCACAGAATTAAAGGTGCTAGAATAATACGATTTATATTGCAATAGTGTGTCTGGTTAGCTCCTGTTCATGAAATAAATAGAAGGGGACCTTCAGCTAGGTCAGAGAAGTGGAATAGAGTACATCTGTCAACTATCCAGTGGGTTGCTAGGTGTAAAATAAGGGATATCTTTGGTGGGAGCCAAAGGTAATAGGACATTTTCTGATAAAGAGATGATATTGAATGTTGGAGGACCTCTATGAAAGGCTAACCTATCCTCACCTATCCTACAAAGATTAGACAAGTCTAGAACTCCTAGAGAGCACTACCAAAGAAGTAAATAAACTTCTCGGAGTGTTATAACTAGGTTAAAGAATACATTGTAGTTGCGAGAATTATCACTAATACTAAACAATGACC